ACTCAAAGCCATTCTATGAGTTTTTGTTTTACTTTATTTCAAGTACAAACATTTAGCACATAGCTCCATCATCTCCATAGAAGCGGAACTAATCACCTTAAATGTATTACCAGTCTCATGAAGCTATACTTAGGTGTTTTTAATTTACTTATATAATTATTACAGAAAATGCTTTCCGAAATATGTAAAATAAACATAGGTGATTTTATGGAAAATGCAGTTTTCAGTCGTCGCTGTAAAACGAGTTCATTCATGAAAGACAAACGAACACCGAGCTTAATCCATTGAAAACTAAAATGAAGGAAATATTCTGCCAAAACATGAAATTTTACTGCAGTTCTGGTTTTATTGAACTTTTCAGAATTTAAAAGAGTTTACAAAAAACAAAACAGACAAATTATACCTCACAGTTATTGAAAGGAATTCACCCGAAATGATACACATGGCACGCTTTAAAGCTTTGTAGTAGACACACAATCAGTAAGGTTTTGAGATCCTTGAGAATAACTGTTCTTTTCAAGAATGCAGCTGAGCCCAAACAATTTTTAAAAGAAAGTTTTTGTTCCCGAACCTACGCCAAAGTAAAATATCTTTTTTTATATCGGCTATTTCAACATGGACTAGCACAGTGTTTATGGCACTTTCTTCAATCCAGAATTACGAAGTGGTTATATTATCGACCTCACTCTGGAGCATGAACATGTCGATGTCACTGACGTCATTCCGGAATAACAAGTGTTTGTATTTCTGATCGTAATCCGAAGTAACAGTATTTATATAACGGACTTCGCAACGGAGTAACAAAATGCTTATGTCATTGACCTTGAGCTAATGATTCTTCATAAAAAATATAAAAACATGCTCTTTGTGTTTCACTCCTAATTTCTTTTGTATCAACAGTAGGCTAACATCTCTCACTATTCAGAATTAAAGGTTATTAGGAATCTGTCACGTGATTGGGATTGACCAGTGCCTTATATTTAATAGGAACCGTTTTTCAGTTTCGTAAATATTTTGTTGTGCGCTATGGATGTGAAAACTGTTATATTCTGTGTGAAATACTTTCAAATGTTTTTGATATAAACAACAAGCTAATTTTGGTAAACGCAGCTGCATGCTGTTGGTAAGAATATTCTTTAAAGTTGGATTTTCTAACTAATTAAATCATTACCTATTAGCAGAAACAAAAGTTCCGATAAAACCATAAATTGTTATCCAAAAACACCCTTTACGAGGAAACAATGAACAGATAGTCTCATAGAAGCAAGTTATTGCGCATACTTGTTGTTGAAATAGTGAAAAGCGATAACAGTAAGATAAAAGTGCATATAGTTTTAATTTTTTGTAGGTACTGTAAGGAGTGACTAAAGTTGTGTCTCGTTAACGAGCACTGGAATAAAAAAATATTCGCGTTGTAACCTGTTTGTGTTATAGTGAGATATATTTTGAACTTACTTTAATGTCCTTCCTTCCTTAAGCTCCTCTTGACGACTAGCAATTTAAATCTGTTTGACTTTAATAAATACGTGGCGGATAAAGGACTACAGAGATCATTCTTTTCTTCTTGTCACAAATCTATAAGTTGTAAAATTTGTCTGACAAAAACTCTATATCACTGATGAAAGGTATCAATGCTCCGAACAGTCAATCACACTTAGTCACCTAAAGTTAGCTTATATTTTGATTTTGTGGGTGAAGGTAAAACCTTAATACCAGCTTTAAATGGCAAGTAAGATAGTCTTAAACTCTCCCCTAGTATGAAGGATTATAAAGATGTGTGTGTGTTTGTTTGTGTGTGTGACAACTAGGACCGACAATGGCAATGCTTATTTTATATACTTATATATATAAACTGCACCAGTTTGTTTGTTTTTTTCATTTTAAAAGAAAACGTTTTAATATGAAAACTACCTTGTTCCACCTGAGCTCCCTAGATTAAAATATAAAGCCTTTTTTTTGTAAAATGTCAACTCTTTAGTGACTTAATAAAAACAAATTTTACAATTTTAATTTTATGTAAATAACACGTACTTGTAAGTTAATGAGGCGAAATTTGTTCATGCTTTTTCAGAATATGTTCGTACTACTTTTTCGCTCCGTAAGCATTTCAATACCCCATTTAAACACAGATCTCTACTGGCTTATGAAACATAACTTATACAAACTAAGCAAGCCAATAAAGTGAAAGGGGTAGGTCAAAACAACAATAAATTCCTGACACGAGGAAAATATATTATTTCGTTTGTTTGTTTTTAAATTTGTATTGTTTCTTGTTTAATAATTTGTTTGCATTTAATATAACATTCCAGACGTAATATAATAAACTTTGACTTCAAGACAAATACTTCTAAACTTTGTCAAGTTCAAGCACGATTTTCCAAAAATATAAAAACCACTATGACTTTGAACCTCGTATGTAAAGATGTAGGAAGATTTAATTATAATACAGATAGACTAATATAGCTAGAACCAACATCTGTAGTTTAGGGTTTGCACTTTACTTCGTATGTAAAGATATAGGAAGATTTCATTATCATACAGACAGACTAATATAACTAGAACCAACATCTGTAGTTTAGGGTTTGCACTTTACCTCCTGT